CCTGGACCAGAAGCTCGGATCGAGAGGCCAGGTCAGCTGACAGGCCGATGATCCTTCCATGAAGGGCTGCCCAGGCAAGGGAGGCTCTGAGGGGAGATCCTGGCTCAAGGTTGTTATGGGGCTTGGACAAGTCGATGTGAAGCACTTGAGCGTCGGAACACGCCGAGAGCACATTCTCACTGACTGCCGCTGGCTCCTTCCCAAATTGAAGGTTCACAAACCAATCCTTGGACTGCTCCAACGCTCGCCGGCGGCGCCGGGGAAGTGACAGGCCTTTCAAGGTGTGCCGGAGCTCGCGTTCCTCCCTAGGGATTGTAGTAGCTATGGACTGGAGGTGGTGGTGCTCAAAAACACCGCACGAAAGGGCCGTCTGCATCACATCTGCTCGCGTACCTTCCTCCTTAGCCCTATCTACCGCCTTAACCAGCGGCACCCTGGAAGTGAGGGCTCGGAGCACGGCCTCCGTCTCATCCACTTGCCCGCGTAGTTTCTCAAGGCGTCGCTCCTCTAGTTGTTGGATCAACTCTAGAGCACGGGCCTCGGCGAGGACTGGACACCCCTGCTTAATCTTCACCCTTAGCTTTCCAAACACCGGATGCTTGACCACTAACCGCGTAGGGGTCCAGGTGACACTACAACCCAGAAGCCGCACTAAGCTCCCGAGGGGCACTATGGGCTGCGAGGGACCATTGGTTAGGATCGTCCCACCTGGATTTTGGAGCAAAGACTGGGTAGCTCCTCCCGCCAAAACAACCTCCGTTGCAGTGAGATCCTGGTCTCTTTCCTCGCGTGCACGAACAGCATGCGTCGCACCGCTGTCCAACAAACCCACCTGTTCGTCGGGGTCTGCCTCCTCCAACGGACCTTCCTCCTCAAGGGCATGGCCAAGCTTGCGATGGCCTTGATCGAGGGCTTCTCAGAAGTCTGTTGGACCTCTGGGATGGCCTGACGAATGGCATCCAAGTGGCTCTGAAGAGTAGCCACCGTCACAGGAGTTCCTTGAAGCACTGGAGTCGCCTTTGGTGCTGCTGCCTCCGCCCTCGGTGCAACGGGTGGATCCCTTACCTGGCTCCCTGGCGCCTGTATGGCCTTCAAAACCTTCGCCGCATCATCCAGGAGAGCCTGGACCTGGCTCGAATTGGTGTCTTGAGCAGTTGCAACCTGGGCCGCCACTGCTGCTGCCTTAGGCCTCTCGGGTTTGTCAGCTCTTCGAGGAGGAGCTGGGTTCGGGGCCTTCGGCGGGCCTGGACCTCCTGAAGCATGCGGGCATGACGCCTTTTGGTGGCCGGTGCCACCACACGACATACACCTGGACTTCTTATCCTTACTAGGAATGTCTTGCCAATTGTGGGCGTTGCGGCACTTATCACCCCTGTTACACCCAATGCCTTGGACATAGAACCTGCAGGCACCTTGAGGAACAGCGATTGTGGTGTCTGCTGTCCGGCCTCCAGAGGACTCTGACTTCCCAGAGCCCTTTCCCTGGGAAACCGATGAGGCCTTTGGGTTTGCAGCTGGCACCTCAGGAACGTTCACTGCGGCTGCAGAGGGAGTCGCCTTCGGCCTCAAGGTCTGAGTCCTAGCTAGGCCTTCTACTTCAGAGAGCAAGGCCGCATGGAGCTGGTGAACCACCGCGACTGTAGGGGCCGTCTCAGCTCTCAGAGCTGCCTTCACAAGTCCCATCCTAAACTGCACCTCAGCATTGCCCTCAAGCACAGTCTTAACTATGTTCAGCAGTGCCTTGATAAGGATCACCGGATCGGGCAACGAACCTCCAAGGGCCTCGGTCCTAGAGAGCCACCGTCTCCATTGGCGGAGCGCATCCAGAGCGGCCTGGGGAGTGGTAGCGGAGCTCGTGTGCTGGAGGCTGCGCAGGGCGTGCTCCCTCTCTTGTACCCCTCCCGGGGCGTACAACACATGAAGGCGGTAGAGAAGGAGAAGTGGAGACTTGAGTCGGCTCTGGACCAACTCCTCGCGCACCTGCTTCGGAGCTGCCGTGATCAAAAGAGCTTCCAAGCGCTTGGCGAGTCTGGACCAAACAGGGGACTTAAGCTCCGGGGTTTCCACTGGATTCAGTGAAATCCTGCCCATGGGGTCACTAGCTAAGTACCTTCGGTAAACCTCTTCGGCCTCTCGTGTGAGGAGGCTCCAGTACTGAGCACTCGTGGCTGACATGTCCTCGACTAGTGGGGCGACTAGGTGAAGCCAGTCCGAAAACGCAAGGGAGGACTCAGGTCCTAGCTCTGGGAGCTTCGGAAGCTCCGACCAAGAGTGTTTCACCTGTTCCGCCTTCCCTTCAGTCGGAGACGAACTTCCGTTCTGCTGAGACACCAGAGCCTGGAGACCTGCCAGAATGCCAGCTGCATCTGGAGAGAGACCTGACGATCCAAGTCCTTGATTGACCCCACTGGCATCCCACGCTCTCTGGAACAAGCCATGCCAAGGCCACTGTTGCTGGGCACTCGAGGCCTCAGCGGAGGAACCTGGTGGCACACCTGAAGCCTGCGGAAGTGCACCTGTGTGCGGCATCTGACCTGACTGCACACCTGAAGCCTGCGGAAGTGCACCTTGCATCGGTGGACCTGACTGCACACCTGAAGCCTGCGGTAGTGCACCTTGCATCAGTGGACCTGACTGCACACCTGAAGCCTGCGGAAGTGCACCGTGCATCGGGAAGCCTGACTGCACACCTGAAGCCTGCGGAAGTGCACCGTGCATCGAAAAGCCTGACTGCACGCCTGAAGCCTGGGGTAGTGCACCTTGCATCGGCACGCCTGACTGCACACCTGAAGCCTGTGGTAGTGCACCTTGCATTGGCCCACCTGACTGCACACCTGAAGCCTGTGGTAGTGCACCTTGCATTGGCACCTGACCTGGATGCACACCTGGCGCATGTGTTGGCAGACCTTGTCGCGGCACCTGACCTGGCTGCGCACCTGCCGCTTGCATGCCTTCCAAGGTCATAGATTGACCCGTGCCCTGAAGAAGGACCTGGGTATCTCCTGAGGCATGCGGTCCAAGGGGATTCGTGCCAGGACTTACGGGGTTAGGGTTTCTCGGCACGAACGACGCGAACGCACCCTGCCCTAAACCAAACCACTCCATCACCTTCGCGGCCTGATTTCCCCAACCCGCACTAGAGGTTTCTACCTGTACAGGCCTTCGGCCCTCAAACAGCAGAGACCTATTCCTCAAGGCTTCGTTCTCAGCTGCCAACGCTCTCATCTGAAGTGCATGCTCCCTCCGAACAAGCTCAAGCTGCCGATGAACCTCTGCCTGAATCTCCCCAGCGCTGAACCCAGAAGAGTCCGATCTGGCTGCTCCTGACGTCATAGCACCCCCGCCTCCATACAAGTGAGGGGCTTCCCTCTCCAGTTGCGCCAGCCGGAAGTTGGCTTCCGGTCCAAACAGCTGTGGTTGTCCTTGGACCTGAATCATCTGGGCAACCTGAGCAGTGTCTTGCGGCGTCGTCCTTCCAACTGAATAAAAAACATCCCTGCCAGAAGAACTTCCCGAATCCGCAGCAGCACCGCTCAGAGGGGCCTCTGTACTCATGCCACTGGTGGCCTGAGGCATGTCCGTCTGGCCCATTACAGGCCCTTCCACAGTCTGTTCCACAACGACATCCGGAACTTCGGTCTGACCCTCCTGAAATGAACCTTCCACAGCCCTTCCAGAGAAGCTCCCCGAAGTAGACGTCACTGCTGCCTGAACAGCCCCATAGCCACTCAGCAGCCCTGCATTCCCAGAGCTCTCTGCAAGTCTCTCACTTGCCTGAGCCCCTTCCATGCTCCCAGAGTTCCGCGAGGGAGCGTCTTGGGAACTCATAACCTATTGAATCCAAAGAACAGATAGGAGTCCTCAAGAGTCCCAGTTCCAGGATAAAGATGGTATACTTCTCGATTTGTGCTCGATAAAGATTGGAGGTCTCCAGGCCTTCGCCACTCACCGGTGGCCCATGAACCCTCACACGCTCCTAACCTTTTCGCAACACAGCAACGAAAGTACGTAGGTCCTAGCAAACGTGCGATTACGCACTTGTCTAGTTGACGCTACCTTGAAAGACTTACGCTGTGTAAAAGTCGTGACCCAAGGCATACATTCCGAAGCCAAGCCTACGGGCCAAACGCAGCGAAAGACACAAGTCTGAAAACTCAAGAGGGGTCCTAGGGGCAGAATTCTACAACCCCCTATAGTAACCCTTATAGACCCCTTTATAACGCCCCTTTCATTGATTCATTCCCTACGAACCAAAGGTAAGTAATTGGTTCTACTTGGAGGATCATGGGACTTAGTAAGTAGGGTTATAAGTACCTTAATTAATTTGGGTTATAAGCAATTATAAGTACAGTTACCTTAAGCATAACCCTAGTTACTAAGTCCCATGATCCTCCAAATAGACCCTAAACCCTAAACCCTTATAGTACCCCTATAGATCCCTTAAAGGGACCCCTATCACCCTACTTACTAAGTCCCATGATCCTTTAAGTCCAGGGCTGGTTTGAGGTTCAGGCTTTGGGACGGCGTCGGGTTCCGGGTTTGGGTCTAGCGGGTTTTGGGCTTCGGAGTTTCAGAAAGCTAGGAGCCTGTAATGTAGACCCTGAACAGTAAGATGTTCATTACAAGTTACAGTGACCCTCATCCAGGAAGGCTCATGGTTCACTGTTTGTGTGCATCCTCCTTGCCGCATGCGCGTAAGGCTTCCTGCAATCTCTGAACGGCCAAAGCGCCCCAAGCCCTAAACCTTTCACCCTACTCCCTGAGCGGTATAACCTGCTGGGATCGATAAACATCTCGGCTTTAGGGCTTGGCTCTGTATACTTGGAGGATCGGGGGACTTAGTAAGTAGGGTTATAAGTACCTTAGTTGGGGTTATAAGCTATAAGTAATTATAAGTGCAGTTACCTTAATTATAACCCTAGTTACTAAGTCCCATGATCCTTTAAGTAAGCCCGAAACTCTTTCGTTTTCTACAGAAGAAGCTAAGTGCATCAGCATAGGACATCGACGATGCAACCATGGAGATCGCCGATGCCAAGTTGCCCTATGGCTATGTGCCTTGCCTGCCACGGGACCCCAAGACCCTAGTTTGAGGTCAGTTTCCATTGTCATTCCTTGGGTACGGCCCTCACTCAGTAATAGTTGAATCAGATTCATAATATAGTTATATTAGGACCTTAATAGTAGCCCTATTATGGACTCTTACTGTATGGGGGCCGTGCCTAAGGTATTCCTTCTTGACTCGTGATGATGTAGCATAAGGCTGCTCAGGCCCGAAGGATTCATGTTTGACGGTTTTGGGCCATCTAAGGCTCTAGAGCTGTACATTCAAGGCCTCTGAGGAGACTGCAGAGTAACCTTAGATCCCCAATACCTAACATTTAAACCTTTCGGGTTCTTATAGTTTAGTAGGAATCAGAAAGTTTAACCTTTCATTTCTGTGGCTTATTGGGGTAGTAAGTCAAAACTGGAATGAACCACCCCCTCCCCAAGTGCCCACACCGACTGAACATGCAAGCTCAAGCACCTGGAAGCATTGGATTTTGTAAATCTGATCCCACCACGCTTATGAGAAGCTCCAACCTGAAGCCCCCCAGACCCCTTCTCCCAGACGAAGACGCTAATCTCAAACCCCAAATGACATCTCACTCTAATTACAGCCCCAGGCCCTTATAAGCCCTAAACCGCCACTGCAATTTTATAGTAACGCCCCCCGAAAATAAGGAGTACCTGGGCAACGGCCCGCGCCTGGTTGTGACGCCGCTGACGGACCGAATCTACGTCACAGCGACCCAGGCACCCAGTCTGCCGTTTCTCAGGCTGTTTGGGGTATATAGGTAGATGTGCATAGGTAGATAGATACAGATACAATCATACAGATCGACCGACAGACAGACAGACAGACACATAGATGGACACACAGCATGACATACCCGCCCCATCCAAAAGACACCCTGGTTACTATCTCACACCCTGGTTACTATCTCACACCCTGGTTCTGAAAAGGCTCTGCACTTGTGCATGGGCTGCGCACCGGCGGGCCCTGCCGGCACCGGTAAGACAGAATCGACGAAGGACAGCCTTCTTAAACCAGAGACCCGAAACCCTACAGCCTAAAGTAAAAGCCAGAAAGTTGGAATATGATTACCCTAAACCCTGTATGGTAAATTATAAGGTATCCTACCCTGAAACCATATTCCAACTTTCTGGAGTTCCCTGTAAATCCTAAACCTTTTCAATCCTAAACGCTAAACCTTCTTTGTGCGCTTGGAAGCTCAGTTTAGAGTTGGGTTGGTTTGTTGGTTGGGCTTCCGGTGTTGCAACTTCGGCCCTGGAGTCTTTTCTGGTCTCACTACAGACGCCTACACCCTTAACTCCTGAAGCCTACTTGGGAGTTTCCGAAAATTAGGGCTACCTTATTTTGGGGTCCTTATAATAAGGATCCTACTATTTAGGGTACTATAATAGGGTCCCCTATTTTCGGAAACTCCCACTTGTTCGAGACAAGCTTTCTCCTATTGTGCGGCTCCGGGGTCTGCGAGGAGTTTATTACATGGGTGGTTGTCAAAATTATGGTCCCTTTTTGGGTCCCTATTATAATACGGCACCTAATGTTTAGGGTATCCAAAAAGGGATCCTAATTTCGACAACTACCCACATATTATATACCAGACATCACAGATTGTACATTACATGTTGTATGGTTGGGCTTCAATGACGGCGGGGATCTGATACTCAGCAGAATTCAGCCGATGGTGCAGATCCCGCTGCAAACCTTGAACTCTCAACCCCCAACACCCTGAGGTCGTTGAGTTTGGGGCCTGGGGTTTGGGAACCCTCGGCCTCAAAATCTCTCCTTGCCCTCAACCCTCTAAGGCCCTCTAAAGCCTCACCAGGACTTGGCCAACGCGGTGGCCAAGGCACCAGGGGGCCGTTACAGTGAACCCCGTAAAGTTGGAAACCGGATTAAGGCCAAATTGTGCTGGGATTCCCTATACATTACTCTTAAGGATTGAGGCTATTGGGTTTCCAACTTTTGGGCTTCTACTGTAGATCCTTTAGGCTCCAAACCTGGAGGCCCTAAACTAAACCTCAACCGCACCCTAAACCCGAAACCCCAAACCCCAAACCCGAAACTCTAAACCCTAAACCCCAAACCCATGCATCAGAAGCCAATATTACGGTTGATGATAAAAATCCTACATTACCCATAATGAGGGTCATGAAGGTAATGCAGGGTTTGTATCATCAACCCTAAACCCTAAAACCCTATAGATCCCTTAAAGGAACCCTCTAAAGGTACCCCTATAGATCCCTTTAAAGGAACCCCAAGATTTATATCATCAACCGTAGGAGCCTTGACCGGCTGGCGTGTGAAGTCCCAGGCACTCCAAACTCTACTTGGAGGATCATGGGACTTAGTAAGTAGGGTTAAAGGGGTCCCTTTAAGGGATCTATAGGGTACTATAAGGGTTTAGGGTTTAGGGTCTATTTGGAGGATCATGGGACTTAGTAAGTAGGGTTATAGGTACCTTAATCGGGGTTATAAGTGATTATAAGTACAGTTACCTTAAGTATATCCCTAGTTACTAAGTCCCATGATCCTTTAAGTAGTTCTGAAGTCCTATGGTCCGTCAGACCGCAGCTGTCTCTTCTTAGTTTAGGGCTTAGGGTTTAGGGTTTCGGGCTTGGGGCTTCAGGTTTAGGGTTTAGGGTTTGGGGATTTTTTAGGGTTTAAGGTTTAGGGTTTATGGCTGTTAGAGTTAATTAAACCTTTGCCTTCACTCCTAATGCTTCTGAACCGACTTCATTAGCTTGAACCTCCTGCTTGAACCCTCCAGCCCTGCGTTCACTCCAAATTCCCCCTACCATTTCCAGCGCTCCTCAACATGCTCTACACCCAGGCCCGAAGTACGTCGCCAATCTGCAACGAGACAGCACTACCTCAAATGCTACGATGTCCGGAGGTGAACCTGCAAACTCCTGGGAAGCAAACTGTGGGTAGTGCCCTTGAGGTCGGCGTAAGACTCCCGAGAATCCCCTACACCTCAGCTCCCAGCTTCCCAACTATTCATGTTTATAGGTTGCTAGAACTGATGATTCTTCTATAGGCCCTAAACCCTTTTCGTTTGATCTCCTGGGGTTCTTGGTGGAACGAAGGGGGCGAACAGGCCTGCTATGTCATCAATGCAGCACCGGAGATGGACTACCTGACTTTGGGTGACATCTACAAAGGCAGGGCTGTGGGACTTGCGCTGTGGGGTTTAGGGTTTATGGGGGTTCGGGTACTTGGAGGATCATGGGACTTAGTAAGTAGGGTTATAAGTACCTGAATCGGGGTTATAAGTGATTATAAGTACAGTTACCTTAAGTGTAACCCTAGTTACTAAGTCCCATGATCCTTTAAGTATGCTGCGTTCCAGAGGTTCTGTTGTTCATGTGGGGATTCGGGGCTCCAGGCTTTTTAAGGAGGGTTTAGGGTTTAGGGTTTAAGGTTTAAGGTTTCGGGTTTAGGGTTTAGGGTTTAGGGGTTTAGGGGTTTAGGGGATGCTGAAGCCTTAGGCGAAGAGACAAAAGCTGCAATAAGTTTGCACTTCCCCGAACCCAACCCTCTTAACCCTAAACCCTCACCCCTAAGCCCTAAACCCCCCTAAACCCTTCCCTAAACCCTTCCCTAAACCCCTAATTAGCCTAAACCCCTAACCCCCTAAACCCCTAAACCCGAAACCCCTAAACCCCTAACCCCCTAAACCCCTAAACCCTAGGAGCCCGAGGAGCCCTAGGAAAGGCAAAGTGGCTCAAGAGCCTCCCGGAAAAATCCCGAAGAAGCCCATTCTCCGCATCCTTTGCCACAGGCCATTGTGTATTAATTAGGGTTAAGGGTCAAGTAGGGTTTAGGGTTGAAGGGTTTAGGGTTTAGGGTTTAGGGTTTTAGGGTTTAAGGGTTTAGGGTTCAAGGGTCCGAGGGCCTTTTTGCCACATGACGTGTATAGGGGTTAGAGTCAGGGTCAAGGGTTTAGGGTTTAGGGTCCAGGGGTCCCGTAATCTTGCCAGTCCACCCAGCATTTGGCTTTTGAAAATAGATCATGGCGTGAACTTGAATGCTGTATGTCCAACTCAAACCCAGACCTTAACGCCTTCAGCCGCAATACCCTCAGGCCTAAGCCCCATTGGCCTTATAAGCCATGTGAGCTATAAATAAAGCCTTAAAGCTTTGATAACTGATAACGATGTAGGTAGCTTAGTTCCCTCACAGAGCGACTTCTAAACGTTCAGCAACCCGAAGCCCCACAGAACCCCGACTAGAACCCTTGTGACCCTATGGAAGCCCAATTGTTCCTAGACCCCAAAGCCAAAACCCCCAAGGAGCCTCGTCCCCCGTCATAGAGCCCTTCCAGAAACCCTACAGGAAGCTCTTATAGAGCCCTCACAGAACCCTGAAAAGAGAACCCGACCAAAAAACCCTGCACCCTAAACCCCGAAAAGGGTCATCGAGCCACTACCCTGAAACCCTAAACTTTAAAGCCCTAAAGCCTAAACCCAGAAACCCTAAAGAACCACCCCCCCCCAAACCCTCAAAGCCCCAAACCTAAACCCCCAAAAGGCCTGCAAAAAAACTTTAAAGCCCGAACAAATTTCAACCCTAAACCCCGAACTCCAAAACCTCCCAAAACAGCTAAAACTCAACTTCAAGGCTATCGGCCCAGAACCCTCAAGCCCTAAAGCCTCATCAGCGCAAACCCTTTAACCCCTATTAACCCTAAACCCCTAACCCTAAAACCCTCCCAAACCCTTCTTAGATCCCCAATACCTAACCTTTATATAAACTTTTCGGGTTCTTATAGTTTAGTAGGAATCAGAAAGTTTAGCCTTTCATATTTCTGTGGCTTGTTGGGGTAGTAAGCCAAAACCCTCCCAAACCCTTATTAATATTATTACTATCATTACTATCATTACTATCATTACTATCATTACTATCATTACTATCATTACTATCATTACTATCATTACTATCATTACTATTACTATTACTATTATTATTACTATTATTATTATTGTTATTATTACTACTTTTATTATTATTATTGTTATTACCATTGTTTCTAAGAGACTTCAGGGCTCTCGGCCAGCGGCTCGTGGGGCTGCTTCGATGAGTTCAACCGTTTGGTGCCCGAGGCCACGGCTTTTTTTTGGGGGTTTAGGGTTTATGTTTTTTTGGGGTTTAGGGTTTATGTTTTTTTGGGGTTTAGGGTTTGTTTGGGGTTTATTTTTGGTTTTAAAGGTTGTCTGCAGGTCTTTTGGGTGTTGAGGGCTTGGGGCTTGGAGGGTTTCGGGCTTCAGGGTTGTTCTGGGATGTTTTATGGTGGCTTTTCGGGTTCAGGGTTTGGGGCGTTTTAGGGGTTTAGGGCTTCATGTGTTGGGATTTTGGGGCTTTGGGGGTTTAGGGGTTTAGGGGTTTAAAGAGTTTAACAAACTGTTTAGGGCTTTAAGGGATCTAGGGTTTAACGTGTTAGAGTTTTGGGCTTCGGGGTAATGGGTTGTAGCAGGTTTCTGGTCTTGAGGTTTTGGGGTTTAGTCTCGGGCTTTGCGGTTTCATGTTTTACGGCTTCGGGCTTTGGGATTCAGGTTTTAGACAGTTCGGGCTGCTCGCGTCCATTCCGGAGTTTGGGCTGCCCCCAGCAACTGACTCAATCAGGTCAATGAGACATGAGCTCCAGATGTTGAAATCTTTGCCTTCGAAGCCTACCTGCTGGGGGCTGTATAGACCCAGTCGCCGCCGTACCCTGCGGTGGACTCATGCCAGGCCACGCGTCTAGATGTTTTTCAATCTGATCGATCAGGTGCAGTTTCACTGGGGTTCTTAGGTCTTCAAACACGATGATAGGGACCCCCAAAAAGCACATAAGCAAAAATCCGGTCAGGGATATCCCATATAAAGCCCCTTATCATGAAGCCCAATAAGGTAGGGATGGCCCCCATAAAATGCTTATGCTTATGTGCTTTCTTGGGCCCCTAAGATGAGGGTTCGGGGGACTTTAGATTTGAGGTTTAGGAGTTTAGGGTTTCGGGGTTTGGGGGTCGAAGCCCCGAACTCCTGAAGGTCTAGGGAGCCCCTGTGCCCTCAGCACCCCCCGACCCGAAGTGCATGCAGCCTAAACCCCGCACAGCACCTAAACACTAAACCCAGCTCTCAGAACCTTAGATCCCCAATACCTAACCTTCAAACTTTTCGGGTTCCTACATTGGGGTAGTAAGAAACATCAATTTTTTCCATGGGACCACCCTAAACCCTAAACTCTCAAAACATCAATTTTCTTCCTTGGGACCCTAAATCGCTGGCTCAGAAGGCAGATTCGGGAATCAAAGGCCGGGAATCCAGCAAAACTGCAAGAAACCTCTCTGTCTCTCTCTCCTTACCTTTGGTTAGTAGGAATGGAGGAATGGGGTATAACTATAACTACTATTACTACCAGTCTTCCATTCCCTACTAACCAAAGGTAAGTCTCTCACAGGTGCTCTCCGTGTGCACAGTGCAGTTCAAGGCGCAGAATTTGGTAGTGGCTTGAAGCTGTAGGTTTGAGGTTTTGCCTTTGCTGTTCTTGCAGGTCGTGGCTTGAGGCTGCAGGTCTCATGGGCTATGTCGTAGTTGGAGGATTTAATCGAGGGGGCCTTAATAATTACCTGTACATTTTTTTGGGGGGGGTCCTTACCATGAATATATAGTATAATGGGTCCCAAAGCCCTATTCTAATTACTAAGGTACCAAGGCCGGTATATTGCAGCTTGGTTTCTTCGGGTATCCCCAAGCCCCAGGCTCAACAGCGTTGTGTGCAGAGCCGCAAGCCTCGACTCGGATTCTGAGCACTCTAACCCTACTTAGATCCCCAATACCCAACCTTTAAATTTTTCGCGTTCTTATAGTTTAGTAGGAATCAGAAAGTTTAACCTTTCATTTCTGTGGCTTATTGGGGTAGTAAGCCTACATCCCCTAAGCCTTACCTTTGGTTAGTAGGGAATGAAAGACTGGTAGCAATAGTAGTTATAGTCATACCCCATTCCTCCATTCCCTACTAACCAAAAGTAAGAAGCCAGCGCACCTAAACTCTGCGCACCATGTCCTTAGTTACTCCTTCAAAAATTGATATTCAAGTCACCAAGCTTTCAACCGGAAGTTCAGATCCTTCATCGTAGCCCTGAACCCTAAACCCTAAACCCAACGCTTCCTCGAGATCCGAAGTCTCCAGTCCATGCCATAAGTATCCGTCAGCTCAAGGCCTTTACAAGTCGTATCCACCACATCCTGCTCAAATCCTTATGGAACCCCACAGCCCCAACGGCATCCGAGAACGTTCCCAGTTTAGGGTTGATGTAGGGTTGGGGTCTCGAGGCGTTTATGTGAGCAAGATGTTAGACAGTGAAACAACTCCATAGTCACAGCCTCTTGCAGCGCCCTATACTTGATCAACCATTTGTGGCTTATAGAGAGCCGCGCCAAGAGGGATTGTGACTATGGGGTCTTTCAATGGTTCATAAACCCTTCTTCTAAGCGAATCCATCACGCGTCCTTCTGCTCCCAGGCGGTCTGCGATGCGATCAAGGCTAAGCAGCAGCGCTTCATGCTGCAAGGCTCCCGGAGGATCAGGATTCAGTTCAAAAGGCAGCGTAGCTAGTACTGACGCTTGCCTACGCAGGGGATATAGGTTGTAGCGGCTCTCGAACTGTCAATCTATATGGGTAGTTGTCAAAATTATGGTCCCATTTTGAGTCCTTATTAATATACGGCACCTAATTTGTAGGGTACCCAAAAAGGGGACCCTAATTTTGACAACCACCCATAGAGACGCTGACGAATGCTGCGTTGACATTGGCAGGCGACGAGATCAATCTGAACCCGCAGGCGGGGCAGAAGAGGGGCGGGGGTGGTGAATCTCAGTTAAGTTCCAGGGTTTACGGTTCAGGGTTTAGGGGTTTAGGGTTAAGTTCTTCCTTTTTGTTCCATTCGGCCTCATACAGCATTCCTGGTAGCAATTACATGCTTTACACTGAGCCTTAAAGCCGTAAACTTCTAATCTAAATCCTGAACTCAAAAGACGCGATCTCGACATGTTTGGACCTATATTACAGCGAGCAACACGCCAAACTTGATTTTCGTCAGAAGAGTCCGGCCGATGGGTTCGCTGATCGTGACTGTGAGCACGAGTTTGTTGAGACGCATCCCGGCAACGATGCCCGGACGCCACATCGCCCACAGCGACTCTGAATAAGTTTCCAGTGGCCGTGCATGCCGTGCTGCACCCAGAGCCTCGAAAACCCCCTTAATTAAGGAATATACCTTAAATTATAATCGGATCCCTAATATGATTTTAAGGTGTATTCCTTAATTAAGTGGTTTTGGAGGCTCTGGGCAGGGGCTCTTGCTCCGCCACTGGTGATGGAGGCTTCCTGCCAGACGGACACCAGAGGTGGACGGAGTGCCGTTGGAGGACAGACTTCGTGTTTTTGAGCAAGGCGCCGCCGGCACCGCTTGTTGCGTGCTCGATTTTGGACAACTGGCGAATCTCACCTACCACCAACGTTCCCAGACGTCAGACAGTAAACCCTTTGCCGGTCTAGATGCCCTACGATTCTTTAGGCGCTGCTCTGTGGGGAGCGGGAAAAGGGTAATGATTCCAACTTTCTGGCGGCTGCTTCAGTGCAAGCCAGGACCTACCTAACGGAGGATGCCTTTAGACAAATACTTGCGATGGTACCTGAACCTAGATCCCTAGATCCCTCAACCCTCAAACTGTACTAAACCCTAAACCCTAAAATTTCAGAAAGGCCCTCAAAAAAAAACCTAAAGCACTAAGTCCTAAGCTGGCCATCTTAGACCTCCGAGGGCTTCGGTCCCTCATAGCACTTCAATTCAGCATAAGTTTCCGAAAACTTTACCTCAAGGAAGAGACCTGAAGCGACAGGCCTTAAACAAAAGAAAGCCCATGTACCGCAGAAACATGGGGGCCCTGCGCCCGAAACCCTAGGCCCTAAACCTATAACCCTAAGCCCTAAACCCTAAACTCTAAACCCTAAGCCCTAAACCCTAAACTCCAACCCTAAACCCTAAACCCTGAACTTTAACCCTAACCCCCAAAGTCTAGGCCCTAGGCCTTGCCGTTTGGGCAGAAAGCTCGGATCCGGCAAATTCTGAGCTCGTGACTTCGGGGGTGAAAGCCTAGCAGCGGAGTTTGTGGGGTTTAGGGTTTAAGGTTTAGGGAGTTTACCTTAACCTACAATAAGAACCTGCAAAAAAGTAGGGTTTCGTAGGTTAAGGTAGGGTTTAGGGAGTTTAGGGTTTAGGGTTTTGTGGAGTCGGGTGCTTGAAATGTTGGGTTTAGCATTGCGAGGTTGGAAGAGAAGAAGGGTGAGGGAATTAGTTCTTAGGGCCTTAGTGTAATGATAATTTGGGAGTCATTAGTTACGGGTTTCGGCTTGAGTGGTATAGGTTTCAGGGTTAGGATTGCGAGTGTTGTTTGGGAGCCGTAGCTCAAGGTTTCGGGACGGCAGGTGGGGTGCTTTGAAGCTTCGGTGCCGGCCGACATGAAAGGAAGTTCCAAACCCTCAAAGCCTCAACCCCCCAGACCCTAAACCCTAAACTCTAAACCCTAAACCCCTAAACCCTAAACGCTAACTCCCTAACTCCCTAAACCCTAAACCCTACTTGACCTGAAACCCCTAGACCCTTATCCCGAACGCCCTCAACCCTACTCCCCAGACCACAAGTTCGTAGCAAGGTGGGCTGCTTCATCACCATGAACCCGGGCTACCTGGGCCGTTCGGAGCTGCCTGAGGGTCTGAAGGCAATGGCTTTCGGGCTTTAGCTTCAGAGGTCGTTGGGTTTAGTGTTGTAGGGTTTTCGGGTATAGGGTTTAGGGTTTAGGGTGCTTTAGCTGAAGAGTGTTAGGGTTTCAAGGTTTTTTTGGGTCTTATGTCTTACGGTATGGGGATTGGGGCGTTGAGACCCTAGGGTAAGCTTTGTCTGTTTGGGCCAATGCAAGCGGAATGTGGTTCGGGGTTCAGGGTCTGTGCTTAAAGGGTCATGGGATTCGATAACAAGAAGCTGAGATCTTAACATCGACAACTTTTGTTCTAGCTACTGATATTAAGCCCGTTTCAGGATACTTGTAACGTTACCTGCAGTTTCCCCTTTCAGCATACTTGTAACCCCACCTGCAATCTCCTCATTACATCCTGCAATCTCCTCATCACCTTCTCGAACCTTATAGATCCCTATAGTATCTGACAGTCGTACCTGCTAAGTCGACGGGATTCCGATGGCCCCGGCACCGGAAGAGCCCACGTGGCTGGGCGCAATGAAGCACATGTTGGGTACTGCCCCCACTCAGCAACAGTTGGATAATATTCATAATATGGAGATATAGGGACCTTAATAGCAGCCCTACTACAGACTGTTACTGTATGGGGGCCGTACCCAAAGCACATGCTTCAGCGATCCGTTGACATGCCGGAGTAGGGCATGAAGCCGAAAGGTTGCATTTGGATCTCCTCCCCGAGATGAAGAGATGCCTAATGTAGGGGCCTGAATAATTAGACTCTGCTTTTCGGGCCCACTATACTATAAATATGATAAGGACCCCCCCCCCCCCCCCACAAATATAGCATTGGTAATAATTTAGGTCCCTACAGTAGATCTTGCCCGTGAAGATCCGGACACGGTGAAAGATAAGATGTCCAAGGGCGCGGCGGTGCAGACAGTGGCATCCCGCAAGAACGAGAGGGCTCAACTCGTCCAGCAGGTGGTGAGTGATGTAGGCAAAGGCCTGGCCCAGTTAGGCAATGGCATGTGCAACAGATCTCCCGTATCGCCAAAAGGACTCATGGCCACGACCAGCTCTACCTCCACATCACCCCGGCGATGAATACGATCAAGGGTGTCGGACAGAATATCGCAAGGATCTTTGGGCCAGAACTGGAAGTGTTTAAAGCTGCCTTGCTCAGGGTGGAGGAGAAGCAGGCCACATTGCACTCTTAAGCAAGAGGACACGGACCTCAAGATTGCACGCATGTAGGAAATTCTGGAAGAATTCGGCAAGCAAGCCACCCCACCTGCCGATGAAGGGGGAGCCCGGATGCTGCATCAAGGGCCTCTTACCTTTGGGAATTAGGGATCAGGGCTTGGTTGAGGAGGAGGAGGCTTCCAAAGTCAAGAACCTTATAGATCCCTTATAGGAACCCCATAAGAATCCCTTAAAGTTACCTTAGAAAAAGACTTATTTCAACCCCAAATTGTTTACGGTTTTGAGGTCTAGGGTTTCTTCTTCGTTTAGGGCTGTAGGGCTTAGGAGTTTGGGATTTGTGCTTGGGGTTTAGGAAGTTTAGGGCTTGAGGGTGACACTGCTTCGGGAGGGCTTCGTGTGTGAATCCGATTCCCCAAACTCAAAGCCCTACCGAATGAAGTGTGAGTTGGTGAGTTGTAGGCGGAAGTGCCTATTGCTTGGGAGGCCCTCTTCCGTCCCATTACTGTCATGGTGCCGGACTTCAAGCTGATCATGGAGAACATGTTCATGGGCGGCTCGGATATCTGGCAGGTGAAGGCTTTAGGGCTTTGGAGCTGGAAGGTTCGGGGTGTAGCCCGAAGAATACCAGTGACCAAAGGGAAGCTAAAACGCGAAGCAGGGAACCTCAAACCTGAACACCAACGCCCCCAAGCCTCAAAGCCTGGCGGCACTCAGCATGTCCATGGGCAACCGTGTACAAGCGGGTGCCATGCTTGATATTATCTAGGCACCTGTTTCTGGCGATCAGGTGAAGGCTTCACCGAGGCCAAAGCCTTGGGCTTGAAATTCTCCACGCTCTATGCACTGAACAAGGACGGGTTTGGGAATTTAGCGTTTAGAGTTTAGGATACAGACTGTGGGTCTGCTCAGGCTTTTCGAGGGTGTGTGACCGTTTATGTGGCTTTTGTAAGATTTTTTCCTAATTTTTCTTTTAGAGTTACTGAACACGAACCAGTTTTCGGGGTATTAAAAATCTAGATTTGCTTGTTATGACTTGGACTATTTTGGTGGCCGCGTCGATTTTGTGGACTTCAGCTGTTTGCGAGGTGTCCAAAGCCCTGGGCTGCCTTATTGGAACAGTATCCTGTTCGGATTACGAATGCCCTCAGCCCCTACACTCCGAACTCTAAACCATGTAACCTTACTATAGGAGCCTAAGTAACTACCGAGACTTTTTTTGGGGTCCGTGACCAACTTCAAGCATAGAGACCCCCAAAGCCCTGTTCGAATTGCTCAGGCCCCTTTCTTAAAGCTGTGCAGAAGTCAAAGCAGTTGGCGGATTCATGCGGGCCGAACGACGCAGTGTTTCAAGGATTTGGAGTTTTTTTTCCTTGTTAGGGACGATGATCAGATGGTTGTTCTGGCGTTCGAGGTGCATGAAGAGTAAGGAAAGCTTCTTCCCATAGAGTCCGTCTTTACGATAGCGTCATGAACCCCGAAGCCGTATTCTAATTCGCTAAGCAGCTATCCTATCCCCCGAAAGACTTAGCCACGACGCGCAGGACCTGCTCTCGCAGTCGAAGAAGTATGCGAGGGGCTCGGGCATTCGCGGTTCCAGCTCAGCAGCACGAGCCAATGGGTCTCAGAGGCTTATAAGTGATCGAAACATGCAGATGGGAACCTTGGCGCAGTCAGAATTGTGAAATCCTCATTCGCAGCGCACTAGTCGCATCATGGCAAGGGTGCAGCCATGATACTACATTGCTGTACCACATCAGGTATGACAGCTTCAGAGAATAGTGGATCCTACTGTTGATGATATAAATCCTGCATTACCTTAAGGACTCTAAACTATGGGAATAATGGTATATTCCTTATTATGGGTAATGCTTGATTTATATCATCAACCGTAACATAGAGTGTTCTAGTGATTTGCGTCCTACACGATCAGAACGCCGAAATGCGGATCCGAGTTGCGCGAAACCCCGTCCGCTTCCACCCCCCCCAAGTTATTTTGGGCTTCTTATAATAAGGATCCTACTATTTAGGGTACTATATTAGGGTTTCCCATTTTTCGGAAACTCCCATGTGAAAGAATGCTTATGTTCCGCCGCCGCCAGTTCGTTTGGGCTTTGTCGGGCTCCTTCACGGATTTTAGTGCTTCCGGTGCCCCGCGCCCGATCTTCGCCCGCCATGTGGCGCTTGGCCACAATCTTCTCACAGATGCGGGCTTCTTTCGAAGCTGCCCCATGCGCCGGCGAGGACTTGGTTAGCCAGCTGCGAGCTTGACCCTTGGACGAAGGAACAGCCGTACTAGTGATAGCCAGGCAACTCCTAGGCATTGCGCCAGTATCGGACAGTATCAGCATTGCTTCAGCTATGACAGCAATACTTTGAAGCTTCAGTTGTGCCGATGAGTCTTCAGCCTCTACTGCATGACACGCATACTTGATGTCGCCACCCGAAACCTCAAACCTCAAACCTAAACCCCAAGCCCTAAACCCTAAAACCCTAAACCCTAAACCCCAAACCACAAACCCTAAACCCTAAACCCTAAACCCTAAACCCCAAACCCTCAACCCCAAACCCCAAACCTAAAACCCTAAGCCGGAGTGGGTAGCTTAAGGTCGGCTCGGGGTCTCTCCGGAAAGATCTGGGATACAATACAACTAAAGTAAAAGCCAGAAAGTTGGAATATGGTTATCCTAAACCCTTTATGGTAAATTATTAAGGTAGAAACCATATTCCAACTTTCTGGAGTTCCCTATAGTGACACCTAACTGAACTTGGGACCCTAGCAACAGTATAGTATTTTATAGCTGTTTCTTAGGTATGCTAGTAGCCCAACAGTAAGAGGTATTTCTAAATACGCTAAGTTACTGCTTCTGCTACCGATTTCTGCTGTTGATCTAGCTGCGCTTACCACCTCCGGCCTGCTGCTGATGCTACTTCATGGGACGGTTGCTACAATGATGACGACGACTACCCATGTGATGACCTTGAAGTCTGGGATGATACGATGAAGAAGCGGTGGAGCACGAGGAGCAGCATGAACCGGTGGACGGCAATGCTGATACTGATGTTGACGTTGTTATTCTTGCTGAGGGTGATGACGTTCCGGATGATCTAAGGCAGTAATTGGTCAATCACAAGCAAGATACCCCAACCCTAGACGCCCCCCCCCCCCCCCCACACACATCGAGGCTTTGCCAACCCTAAGCCGCCTCACACATCGAGGCCTCGTACCCCCACCCTAACCCCCCCCCCCCCCTCCCCCCCCGTAACACCCCCCACACACGGAGGCAGGGAGGAGTTGAAGAAGTTCATCAATGAGCAGAACTGTGCACCGATCCTTATCCGCCTCGCATGGCACGACTCCGGCACATTTGAGCCTCAGCTCAGAGAGGGAGCGTTTATTGCGGGGGCGGAGGAACTAGTACGAGTATCCCTGAAAGTAACTACATATTACAGCGTGCCCGACACTTATTCCGATTATTAAGGTTTTGTGCAGCACAGTTCAGGGTTCTAGGTGTTTTTTCCTGTCTTTTTGCGCTGCATTGGGGATGCTTGTTATTTCTTGGACCCACGTACTTTGTAGCTGCGTGTGACCTCTGCCAGACAGTACGCGAGACACCTTCAAACTCGGAACCCTAAAAGAAACCAAGCATGAACCAAACGCCTTCTTTACCCACAGAAGTAATGCTCAAGGCCAGGGGTCCAAGGTACGATGGCGCATCTATGCAGCTTTTTTAAGATTTCTAGCAGTGGCCGACACAGCCAAAGAGAAGCAGAGTACGTGTGTAATTCAAAATCCCATGCATAAAGCAACTCCACAACACACTTGTGTCTCAGGACCAGCGCATTGCAGAATTTCCTCAGCGAGGATCGAAGCCGTTTTCTGACGATCGATGGTTTCTGTCTTTCTGGCTTTTCGGATGCTTTTGGAGCTTCGGGTTTTCCAGGTCGGCATGCTTTGAGGGGATCCGTTGTCCGGCTTCAGTTAATTATAGGCCCAACTCTTCACCCGAAGTAGTTATCAAAATTAGGGTTTAGGGCCCCGTTTTGGGGTACCCTAGATACTAGGCGACTGCAGTCCGTAAGCTAAGCTCCACCGAAAACTTAGCGCAACCCCCAGCCCGAAAGTGTTGAAAGGGCCCTCAGCAAACATGTTACAATGCTTTGGGGCGAGACCCCAAAAGCCCCAAACCCTTAACCTGATTCCCTAAACTCTGCGAAACCCTACGAAACCCTACAACCATCAACCCCAAACCCTAAACCTTATTCCCGAAACCCTACGAACCCTAAACCCTAAGCCCCTCAACCGCCAAACCCTAAACCCTAAAGGGCCCGAACGACCTAAAGAGGAGGGGCCAACGGCGCCATCCGTTTCGAGCCTGAGATGACCATGGGAGCCAACGCAGGCAAGGACGGAACCATAAAGACTAGGCAGCTCCAGGGTTTTTGTATTAGGGGTTCTTTTCACTTAGACCCCCAATACCTAACCTTTAAACTTTTCGGATTCTTATAGTGTAGTGGGAATCAGAAAGTTTAACCTTTCATTTCTATGGCTTTTTGGGGTAGTAAGTTAAAGGGGTCTTAATAGTTTGAATAGGGTTCCTTTAAACTTTAAGGGGTTCTTTCCTTATTAAGAGGCTCCTTTACGGGATTCTTTAAAAGGGTTCAGGGTTTAGGGTAAGGGGTTCTTTAAAGGGTTCTTTAAGGGATTTATACGGGTACTTCTTTTTCGGGGCTTTAATGCTTAGTACTAGGTTAGGGGTTTAGGGGTTCCTTTAAAGGATACCTTAAAAGTCTCTAGAAGAGAAGAGCAGGGTTCTATAATTAGGCAGCTTTGGGGGTTCATACTTTCGGGTTAGAAGCTGCCCCCACCCTGTAATAGTGGTATAATAGGAATATAATAGGGCCCTAATATAATCCTATATAATCCTTATGGTCACTATTACAGGGTGGGGGCCGCTTCTAACCTTCGGGCTCTAAGGGTTTAGGCCTCCAGGATTTTCGGTTTTTTGGGTCTAAGGATGAATCGCCGCAGCGCTTTCGTAGCTATAGTTGAGGCTACGGGACCCTTTTCAACCAATTACTGAAAACCAGTGTAACCGGTTTAGGTTTAGGATTTAGGGTTTGGGGTGTAATGTAACACCCAGCTCAAAATTAATTACACAAACTACAAGAAGCCGATACAACACCATTGAACCGCTGTTGCAGCAGCCCCTGCCACATCTTGACACACACCTCTCGCCTCCTCTATGCGTTCGTGTTGTGGGTTTACCAACAAAGCTATGTAGGATTGGAAAGTTTAGGAAAGTTTAGGGTGTAGGTGGATTTTCGGACCGGGTTAAGATGGATTTCGGGGTCAAGGTTCAGAGTTTCTAATCTTAAACTCCCCGAAACCCCCAGGAAGCAACTCTAACACCCCAACTTCCAAAGCAGGCTTGGACAAGGCCAAGCGATACCTCGAAGCGTTCGCTAAGAAGTGGCTCGGCTTGGCCTCACTTCTTGCGTTCTTTGAATAGGGCTATCCTACACCCTAAACCCTTAACTCTTGAACAAAAACCGAAACCCTAAACCCTCCAACCATCGGTTAAAACTGCTACCGAATTGGGTATAGGCTTTCGGGCAGAGCGCCGGATTTCAATTCTCATTTATCTTCGTGGTGCCTGCAAGGCTATACCTTAGGGTCGGCCCCCTCCCATTAATATTGAGCACAAACAGACCCACCAAAATAAGCACCCCGAAAAAGGCCCAAGTGACCCACGGATATGATCAGACTCGAGGAGTACAGAAGTCAAGCAGATGCACATCTTCGGACATCGGTGATGATGTTAAGGGTTAGGTTCGCATTGAGTTGGGGGGCCAACTTAAGGCTCAGGGGTTAAGGTTGCAGTCGAGTTAAAGTAAAGCTAAATTCGGCTAGGTTGAAATATTTTAAGTTAAGCTAAACAGATTAAAATACACTAAGGTGAACTAAGCTAAGGTGAGCTAAGCTAAGTTCAGCCGCCAAGCGAATCAAATTAGAGATAAGTAGAATACATTGACATTGAATAAACTTAGTTAGAACTGTTAACTGTTAACTTGAAAGTTCGGGGATAAGTTAAAGCTACGTTAAGCTAAGTTGAGGTGGGCCAAATGATCGCTGCGAAGCTGCTACACTGAACTGAATTAAGCTCACTCAAAGCCACAGCTCCAGCTCATGGGGCTTGGGGGGTCGTGTGGCGCCAGTTTTTGTGCGCAAAATGCGCGCAAAACCTGGCCAATATTAAAAAAAAAATAGATTGCGAAAATTTATAGGTTCGACCCCGTCCTCCTTCTTATAGCTTTGGGCAGGGGCCTGGGGGGTCCCGGGCCCTGGCTTGAGGGGATCCCGGCCGTGGCCGGCCTCTGGCCGGATCCGGGCCGATCGATCATTTTTAGTAGCAGAACCGGATTCCTTTTAGAATTCATGAACACAATCTGATGGTTGTCTGATGCAAAACCCTGGTGCTTTTTTTGGTGCTCCTGTTGCGATTTGCTGGTGCTAATTTTGCGATTTCCTGGTGCTAATTTTGCTTGGGTAGTTTTCTAGATTGTGCTT